TCTTATTGATACCAGCTCTGGAGGTCTTGCTTCTACTGTCTCCACTGATGGGTTTCTAAGAAAGCACGTCTCAAGGAGAGGGAGTCGAAACTAACTGCGTATGGAAATTTTAGTCCTTTTCGACCATAATGGTACTAACTGAGCTATAATTACTGCCTTGCTGCAATTTACATATTTTACCTGTGCAGACACATATGCACACTGAAGACTTTGCAGGAAGTGTTACGAGTCTTAAAAATAAAACTTTAGTAGATAAACTGAATATTTAATCCATTGCAGACACGAAAAAGTCAGGTTAAAATCAAAGAACCCCCCCACCTCAAAACTGGGGGGCATCAGCCTGATTCATCTTCTGTGGACTGTGAATATTTTGAGCAAAAAATGTGCCAATTCAACATGTAAATACAAAGCTATTTGATAAATTGACAAGCTGATGAGTCAAGTAGCCAAGATTTTCAAATAATGACATATGAATGAAGTGTTAGCCTAAAACTGAGCAGTCAGATTGCTCTAAATGCTGAATCAGACAGCTTTTTTCTATTCTTGGCTCTTTCTCATATCACTGAGGGGTATCATGCTATGATTATCTGGAGCATGTGTTTATGAGAGGCAGCCAATCACAAGAAAGTTAGCTTAGTGAGGAGGAAGAAAGCTTAAACGTCTTTAAGAGGCGATGAACTGAGAAGCTGCACGAAGGCAAGAAAACAAGGATTATTTTGAAATGTGAATCATGAAAAGCTACTCGAGGTCCAGGAATAAAAACATGGAGGAAATGGAAATGAGCAGAATTAGTCCCTATTAACAGTAAGCTGTGATGCATATCTGTTTTAAATTTTATGGCAATTGGAGACAACTAAAAATATAAACCCTGTGGTGGTGTTTAAGGAAAAGTGAGAGCTTATTTCTGGCTATCATCAAGATTCATCTTCTTCTGAGTTTGGCCAGAAGCTGTAATTTCAACAATATCTATAAAACAACTGAGCCAGCATGGCTGAACATGAATGTGTTTTTTTAATTTATTGTTTTTGTGGGTTTTTCTTTTCATCCCATAAATGAAAACAAAAAAAGTCACGACAATGAGCAGATGAGTGTTTAGTGGATGATTGATGATTAATGCATCTCTAGAGAAAGCCAGTGTGACGCGACGGCTTTCCCGCGGGGACGCTGACGATGAAGCCAGGCGGATCTCGTCACAGTCTCACCGCGTCACATAACAGGTGCCGTATAGGACGAGAACAGGCTGGAGAGGCGCCCAGGCACTGTTTGTTCCCCTCTGCACAGCGTTACCCAGGAGGCAGCGGCAGCAGCGAGCAGATGCTGTGTGTTTCCAGCCCCAGAACTTATTCTAATCAACAGAATCATCTCCGGGGGTAAAGCCAGCTGAGTCTGATCTGACTCCATATCTGAGCCGGCTGAATGAGACAACTGGCTGCTAAATCCACTGTGTAATTGTGCAGATGGGAGGCGTGCTCTGGGTGTGGATGAGTGTTCTTAAGATGCAAACCTAGCCTGAGTAATGGACACCGCTCCGTCTCTACCAAAATTAAGACGTTTTCCACGAGAATGTGTGAATGATGTCATATTTTTGACTTTTAGTAGATCCGGCTCTTTCTACTTCATTTCTTTGTTTAATGGTGTCAATCACGACTCCCCGCATTCATTGTGTACAAGTGTGCTTGAGCAAAACAAAACACCATATGGCACCTAACTCTATATAACAGTAATAATCACAGCCGTAGCTGTTAGCAGAATCACTTGAACAAACTGAGAGCAGACAGAACTTTGTTTTTCTTCTATCCAGCTGACTTTGGCATACTATCTCATCCTCTGTGCCCCTGATCTTTCATTGCTTTGTTCAACTCAGAGGAGAGGGATTAGAGAGCACTTGGTGTCGGCGTGTATCTGTCTGTCGTTCTGTCTGCAGCGAGCTCGCTTTTCTCGTAGCCTGACAGCTGCTCCGAGCCCCAAACAATGCTTCCCCTGCTAACAAATGCACCCAGCTGACTATCTACAGAGCATCATGCAGACATATTGTGTAGTCAGTACAGTTTGGCTTTGGTTTCTCCGCACCATCGTGTATTCTCTTTCTCTCCCTAGTGTCTGTCCTCCTCTTTCTCTCCACATCCATCCTTCCCCCCGTCTCCTCCTTCGCCTCTCGAGCGTCGAGGAGCTCATTTAGGCTGACGTGGAGAAGACAAGCCCATGGATATGCCCGCTGGTCATGGCAGAGAACGAACGCTGGCAAACGGAGCTCTTTGACAATGCTCCCAGTCGGACAGCAAACTGTTTGTCTAGCCCTATTAGTGGAATTTGGCTAGTGTACTTCACTTATAGTGCGTTTAATTTAACATCCACAGGGTGGAATGATCAAACTAAAGTCCAGGAAAACGGAAGATTTATGGAGACAATGTGTCTGTCTACTCGCCAACTTTTTTAAGGACAGGGTACTTTAAAAAGTTGGCGAGCAAAGGAAGGTAAAGTTTAGAAAGCTCCTGTTAACTATTCAGCAACCTCCACTAACCTTAGAACTTTGCAAGCAAACAGCAACAATCTTCTCAAGATGCAGCCTTGACTGTTTGTGGACCCGCTCCTTTTGTCACTTTCAAAAACACCTTTACACAGACCACTGCAAGCTCCCACAGAGCTTCTAAGCTTGGCTTTCTGCCTCATTAGTGTTGATTATAACGAGACAGCTTCCTCTGGCTACATCTCCAAGTTTTGAAGAAAAGAGGAAAAAATCAATTACAAAAAAAGTCCTCCAATTATCTCAGCTGAGGCAAACATCGGAAACATCAAGCTAGTAAATACTGACTGACAACTATTTAGGCCTCATGGCTGAAACGAGAGGAAACGTTTGTACTGTCAAGCCAAATACTTTCCCACTTTTGAAGGTGTAAAAGCACAGAGGTACGGCTGGGAAAATACTGCCGAGGCAGAGCTGTAAGCTAAGAGGCGTCTCGCCTCTACCCACCTGTCCTCGGGTCTTTGCAGCGAGAACTGAGTAAAAAAAAAAACTTCAAATAATCTCCAGGAGTCCATTTTCTGGCTTTCTTTACATTTCCTCTCAGGATGGGGAGAGGAGACAGCTTTGACGTTGTTTCCTCTTTGTGGTTATTAGATGTCCGATCTCGCTGTGCAGACCAATTAAAAAAAAAAAGAAGATTTTGATGAAAGAGGCAGAATGGCTTATTTAAACACTAGCTTCAAAGTGTTGTGGTGCAATTTAATTCCCAACTTTTTGACGGCAGTGATGTGTGTGATCTAGGACCTAGGAGCTAAGTCTTTAGGTGGTCAGGGCGAGTGCATCGGCAAGGACGATAAGTAGGCTTTAATCTTAAAGTGCAGACGGCTCAGCATACTTCATCTGACAATCTGGTCTAAAAAGAGTCTCCTTGTGACGGCTGAACGCTGACATTGCATCTACATCATGCAGTGATTTGCCAGGTGTGGTGGGATGGTTTAAAAACTTTATCTGGCTCTCTCTTTTCTTTCTTTCCTTAAACTCAGTGAGGCCTACCACATTATCTGTTATAGAAAAGTACCCCAACCCAGTGATGTAGGACTGTATGAATTTTGCCATCTAATATTGCTCTCTTCAGTGTTTGGCAATGCTAAAATGTTTTTGTACTGTGTACTTGTCTATTCACTAAATGTCGGTATTTTAGCAATGCCTGAAGGTCTAGCTATTCTAGCGTCAGTTGCTGTTTCGAGCCCTCCAGTCGGTCGTGTCCAAATTCATGGGCTGCATCCTCCTGAGGCCGCATTTGTAGACCGATTACATCACAGCGACGCGTAGACTCCTCCGAATGCAGCCGACAAATGCGTCCTCCTTTTCCCCGAATTTGAAGGATGGGTCGGGTGTGTCCTTTGTGGCCTACAATATCCAGCCCATTCTCACTCCCGAGGCGTAACATGCCGACGTTTTGTCACGTCCCGTGGCGTTCCTGAGGAACGCGAAAGGAGACCTTCGGCGTTCTTATGGTACGCGGTGGGTTATGGCCAAAATCCAGTGCAATGACGCTCCTGCAGGAATAGACGTTCCAGCCCTGTATTCCAGCCCTAAACCTAACCTTATCCCTAGCCCTCACCATAACCTTTTTCCTGAGGTTAACCAGGACTTTAATGATGTTAAATACCATGTTTTTAAGCGATTTGAAGAAAAAGAGCGAACATGTGTAGATTGAGTCCATACGGTTCTCATATTTCCTCATTTTTCCGAGGTCGTCATTTAGGAACGTGGTGGGTAGCCGAAAACGTAATATGTTGACGATTTGTCAGCTAGCGTAAAATGTTACGCTTTGGGAGTGAGAACGTGTTGCCATATCCCAGAATTCATAGCGCGGCCCAGCCAATTCCAGTTTCCAACAATGGCGGCCGCTACTAAGTTTTAAAATTACTCTTACTAATCTTTCTGGGTCACAAAATAAACTTTTAACATATTTTCAGGCGAGAAAGTAGCTGTGTGAACATCAAATATCTGCTCGTTTATCAAGATATCGCATATTTGCAAAAGTGCTTCGACGTTTTCGGAGACGTCTGCTACCCACCAGCTCGACAGCTCGCCGGGAGCTCGAGGGTTACTCATGCGGCCGAGAACGGCACAACTCCCGGCACATCATTTTCAGATCACCGCGGACTTTTGCTACTCAGGTTAAACGTAATATATAAGCCACTTAGACAACCTAAAAATGTTATTGTTGGGCTTTTTTCAGTGTTTTGTTTGTTTGTGAGTAAATCGGTTTGGCTGAGATTAAAGGTATTAGATTAGATTAGATAAAATAAAACTTTATTAATCCCCTGGGTGGGTTCCTCCTTGTTTTTTCACAGCTGAATAAACGTCAAACAGAAAACTGATTAAACAGAAGCATGACACGGTCGAGAATTTACGCCAGTGTCCTGTTATATTATACATAGCAAGGAGCAGACGGCTGAGTTTACTAAACTCCACCGAGACAGCGGTGACGCTAATCAGAAGGCTAGACCGTCCAATTTCCCCAGCCGTTTACTTCCGGCCTACCCGACCTTCTGAGGACCCGGCCCACGTAGACCGCGAAGGCCGGGTCCTCAGGAGGATGCAGCCCATGAATTTGGACACGACAACAGTGCAGCACAGAGCTGTCTTTGCCATTCTTGCTTCTGGTGAGATAACCAAAGACACTCCCACGTCTCCACATCACCGTGGTGTCCCCACTGGTTTTGCTGTTCTTCGATCGACACCATCCTTGGCGTGGGTCACAATAAACGTGAAGAATAACTTTCCATCCACCCATAAATGAACAGCACGTGACGGAGCTGAAGCCTTTCCCGGTTGTAATAAGACAAAAGACAGGATACACCCTGGACACCCATTCATTAACATTCACCTATGGCTAATTTAGAATCACATAAAAAGCAGACCCACACAAGCACACAGAGGAACTCAGCTGGTCATCAGGTTCAAACCTCACTGTGAATCGTAAGCACTGCACCAGTAAAATCTTGATATTGTGACAAATATGCACAAATAACAATATTGCACCTTTTTGTTTGCTTTTACACAGTTACACTTGGAGACTCTCCTGTTGCCTCCCTGCACTTACATTTTGTGCTCAATGAATTTGAACTTGTCCACATTCTTCTGGGGCAGTGAAAGTTGTCACTTGAGGTCCATCATGCACCAGTGTGGGGATTACAGAAATATTTTGCTGCTATTGTTAATAATCATCATCATTACTGATAGGTTTGTAGCTTGAACCTATTCGCTGGAACGTTGAAGACAATATAATTACACAGCAAAGCAAGACACGAAGTAGGCAAAGTTCTTCATGTTTCTCGTGCACGGGAGAGAACCGGACAAACGCCGTTCCTTCGCTTGACCCCAGTTGCACTCGTCCGCTCCCCCGTAACACTGCTCTTTTATTGAGGTTACATGAATATGCATAGGTTCATTAACATACGACGTCTACATACAAACAAAGAGTACCTTCCCTGTGTGTGTGTGTGTGTGGTCAGAGTGTGACCCCATAAATGACTTCCCTAAACCTACTGGTCTGAAAAGTCCAGCAGTTCATCTAAACAAAAAGCACTTAGCCTAAAACAGATATAGCCATGTTTATCCTACCATAAAACAATAAAACAAGGTACGACCTCTTCCCATGCTCCCAGGATGTAGGTGTGGATTCCAGAACACTCTGGAATCCACACCAAGCCTTTGCAGCCTGCTAAAGATCACACATCCTATCACTACACAATTATTTAAACACCTCTACCAATCTAAAACTAATTATAAAACTCTAAGCATATATAAGTAGATATTTCTAAGCATAAACCTAACAATTACCATTGCGTTAATAATTAATATTGATATTGCATTTAGATGTTTAAACATATTGGTACCCAATTAGCCTTTATTACAGGTGCAATTATAACCACTTTAAACGGTTGAGTTAAATCAATAATCTTAAATGCTTTTGAATGCTTGTTATAATCTTAAATGTAACTCTGAGTACACTGTGTGCAAAGTAGACAGGAAACTGCAGGCTTTTGAGCGTGTTTGTGAACGTGAAACTAACCAGAGAGCATTTAAGGTCGAGAGACACACACACACACACATTGTAGATGGACTCATTTATAGGTGAAGGTTCAAATAATATTTTGTAAAAGCTTGCAAATGCAAAATTGTGCCTGCAAAAGAGCAGTTTGTTGCAGAATGGGTGCCTGATGATCCAGACGATAAGCGAGCGTTCGGCAGCGACAGGAAGACACCTGGGATGGAGACGAGGCGATGTTGTTTTTTCAAACTGTGTTAAAAGTCATTGTGGTTTTGAAACTTATGCATGTGATGACGCATGAGGGGGCGTTATAAATTCCCCTGATGATATAAAACAACTGATCGTGTATTGTTCGAGAGAGATCGAGGCTGTCTGCGTACAGTGTTCATCTCTCCACGCGTGTGTTCATTAAAATCAGCGTTTGACTGAACCCGGCCGGACCAGTGTTGTTATTTTGGATTTCCTCCTATATCCCTCCTCAATATTTGAACCCTTAACACCAGTCATTGTGAACCACACCACATGCTCGGCAGACCACAGGCAGATGATTGTTGTCCTTTTAAGCTTTTGCTAATGGCCTTTTTGGATTCAGCTGCCATTTGGATTTTGATTGCTGGTATTTTTGGGCAGTTTTTGCTTTTAACTGACCGGCTTTGTTTGTCATGTTTGTGAGGTTTGCTTGTCCAAACTCTGGAGTGAAATTTCAGCCTATATGAAAAAAATCAGGATTAGAAAAGAATCTAAACTAGCGTATGTCTGTGAAGGTTCTCAGGCATCCAGGTCATTGTAGTCAAAGGAGCTTGCAAAGAAAAGCGTCTGGACTTCTTTAAGTTGCTTGAAGACGTTTCACCTCTCATCCGAGAGGTTCACATTTTGGACA